TGATAGACCCTGTTTGCAACCAAATTATTTGGTTGGGGAGAATTAAACAATGTAATAGGATTAGATTATTATGGGTTATACGATGAATGGACGATATATGAATACAAATATTTGGAGATTTTTACGTTCAATTCTAATTGTTGTACAAACCAAGAAAAGGGCTACAATGATACTCACCTTACTGAAAATTATAGATCAGTTGATCGATACTGGAAATTTTCTGGAATTATTAACATGAAACACATATTTTTTATGACTCGACCTGAACAAGAGAGAACAACAATTTTTGAAGATGATAGACCAGAAGGACTTGCTATCACATTTGGGTGTTTTGATGGAAGCACTGGGTGCAGACAAACACAAACATCAAGAACAGAAGTTATTGTTAAAAATAAAGGAGTTGTATTACATTCAAAAATAAATGAAGAGTGGATTATAACAATTTCAAGAGATAAAAACCAAGATACAATTCCACTTATCTATATAGATGGAGAAGTGCAACAAACAGTATCAATAAATTTATCATCTTTTAATCGAGTAGTTGATACTCCTGCAATGTATTTACTTTCTGGTATACTTATGAATGAACATGTTAATGTTTTGATATTTGACTATCCACATGAAATTAAGTCGGCATGTACACGTGGAAACTTTTCAAGAATGAAGCTTGTTTCAAATACAGGAACAGGATATGGTCCATCGTATAATTGTCATTGCAATCCTGATATCCTAAAACCTTTTGATGAATTTGATTACCCAGATTGTAAACACAACAGCACATTCTTTGACTTAAATCTTGTTGACTTCGATTTTTATCTGTTTAAACAGGCCAGTTGGGCAACAATCACTATTGGCGAACTTCGAAAGCTAACACTTCACTCGACTTTAAATTGACTACATTTTACTACATTGACTATCACACCGATTGTTTTGACATTTGGTGTTTATGTGAAAATTGACAAACTAATATTTGTAGAAAAAGATTTGCGTTTCGAAATGAGTGCGTCAATAGATTCCATTGAATATACAAATCAAGAGTTGGTAGAAAATGAACTTTTTGTGTTAAAAAGGAATTTCACACAAACAACAACTCTTTTGTGAAACAAGGAAATAAAGTCTTTTACATTCAAAACCCGTGCAATAGAGTTCCTTGTTCAGGAGATAATTGCATTGAAGTCAATGGGTGTTATTTCCGTTTTATTTATAGTTGCGACGATGAGCGGTCGTGTCCAAATGGCATGTTCTATGATGGAAATTCTTGTATTAATTGCACAACAAATGACCCCAATTGTATTTTTTGCAATGAATTTTACTGTTTAGATTGTAATGATAATTTTCGTCTTGATTCTGGACAATGCACAAAATGTCCAAAAAATTGTAAAAAATGTTCAGAAAATATGTGTATCAAATGCGATCAGGGTTATTACTATGAGAAAAAGCAGTGTGTTGAATGTTCTGCAGGGTGTAAAAATTGTATAAAAAATTCATGCAAGGAATGTGAAAAGAATTTTTATTTGAATAATGGAACTTGTCTTGATTGCAAAATTTATTCCTCCAATTGTATAGAGTGTGATGATAGACAATGTAAAACGTGTCAAATTGGTTATTTTCTTGATCAAACTGGCATTTGCCAATCGTGTTTTAACATTAATCCAAATTGTAACATGTGTAATGAATATTCATTTTTCTATGATGGAAAATGTGTCGAATGTTTTGACTTATTTCCATCTTGTTCAACTTGTGATTCAACTCATTGTACTTCATGTAATAACGGTTATTTCCTTGAAAAAACTGATTGCATTGAATGTTTAAAAAAATACGAAAATTGTGCATTGTGCGACGAAACTTATTGTGACAGTTGCGTTGATGGATTTTTTATGTACAAAGAGCAATGTATTGGGTGTGATGCAAACGTTCCAAACTGCATAACTTGTAACTTTACACATTATACATCCAAAAAAGAAAGCAAGAAATGTGGAGTTTGTAATTCCTTCTCTGGCCAATTTCTGAGTAATATCAACAAATCCGGCCGACCATTAAAACCGTTAATCACAGAAGTGTTATAGTTATAAGGCGATTGATAGGTCATACCAATTGATTTGAAAAGCAAAGAAAAAGATTGACAAACGGTATTTCTTTGAGAATGTCAAATGGTAAAAATTAATAATAAATATACTATGTATTTATGGTTTTTAATTAGCAATGGTCGATACTATATATTATAATATAAAAAACTGATATAGTAAATTTCCTTCTTGTATTTTTGGAATATCCTTAATTAGAATTCAGACTTTAAGTGAAAATTGGTTTAAATTCAACAAAAAGCACAGATTCAAAAACAAAAGTTATTTTTCGAAAATTGATTGGCCATTTGTGCTACAAAAAGACTTTTTTTTCCTTTATTCAAAATATTATTGATTAAAATTAAAAAACTATATGTATAGTTGGTTTTAACTATTGTTAATTAAAAATTCAATTTTACATTTATTACTTACTTTATAATTAATTTAAAACTATTATTTTACTTATTTAATTATATTTATTTACCAATAATGAAACAAATGAACGAACAATACAATCAATCAAAATATCCAAGCGACTCTCTCCTTCTCTTCTTCTACACATTTCTTATTTTTTGTATATTATTTATAATATATAAATATTATAAATAAAAGCGCTCATACCTCTATAATATGTTGTCTGGACTGTTATATCATGCCGTATAAGCGCTATTAATTTATTTAATTATTTTTTTATTTATACAGTCCATTTTTATTTAAACAACAAAGAGTGACTCTTTTATCAGCATAAAAAAGTCACGATGGCAATGGCTATTTTCGAGTGGATATATTTTAATCAATTGTATTGGTTGCCGACTCTGTTCAGCCGGCGTTCCGTTGAATGATTACATTCTATGTGGTTAATACTTTAAATGTTAAAATAAATAGAAACAACCAATGTGCTGATGATTACAACGATTTTTAACCAAATGGGGAAGGGCGCTTAATCTACTTGTTGAAAATAGAAGAATATATTTGTTTTTGTCAATTCTGTTAGATATTTAAAAATAACGCCTCTGTTGTTATTGTATTTTTAGCCATAGTTTCAATAAGTTTGAGAAATAATATATTAATTGTCAATTTTTCAACGGAAAGAGAGTATTTTTTCATTTTTGTTATTTTTTCTTTTACCACAATGTTGTTAGTATATGTTGCGTAATTGGTGTGATTTAATTCTGTGATTGTTGTATAAGATAAACATACAGAGTAATACAAGCAATGAAATGTAAGCTTGTATATTTTAGACATGCCCATTTGGTTAAACACGACATATTTCTCGAGAGACAATGATAATGTTACTACAGTTAGCCATTTTTCAATCATTGTGTTTAATTATTTAATTCTTGCTTTATATACTGTTTATTCTTTCTATTTTTGATTTTCCCATTTTTTATTTATAAATAACACCATTAATCTATTAATACAATGTTGAAATAATGCAAATTGGATCTTTGAATGCTTTATTTTACTTCTTTCGAGGTTTTATTATTTATTTGATGCAATTTACTTGTTTGAAACGACATTATTTCAAAATTTCATTTAATAATTATCAAATAAGAATTGTGTCGTATATGCTATTATTTATAAAATAATCGAAACAACGCCATTGTGTCTCTTTTTGTTATCCAATCGTTTGTATTGTATTTTTATTTGAATAATGAAATCAAAGTATTTCAAAAATATAAATAAAAGTCATATTTTACAAAAAATATAAATACTTTTTTATTTTTGAAATAAAACAATTTTTGTTTTTTACAGTTCTATTTTAATGTTTACATTGTTGTCATCGTTGCAATTGAGTGTTTTATTTCATTGTTTTAAAACATCTATAAAAATTATTATCATTAACTATTTAAATTTATTTCTTTTTTTTAAATAATCAAATTCTATTTTTAAATTTAAAAGTAACTGTTATTCAAAAAGTCAAAACAAAAAAGTGTCTATCAAAAAACGAAATAATAGTGTTCATATAATTCCAACTTTTTCATCAAGCTAAAAAAGCATATTTAAACAATTTTGACAAAATTATAATTT